GCTTATATCGTGTTGGAATTTTATCAAACTCTGAGGAAATGTTATCATTATGAAGAAATTCCTGTCGATTGTTATCAGCGTGAATTAAAACGTTGGATATTGGAAAATTTACAAATTCATTTATCCGATGATGTGTTTTATCCTGGATTGGGTGGGGTCTTACAAATTTTAGAAACCATAAGAAGAAAACCATCAAGGAAAAAGCAATACAAATGGCAGCCTAGGGAGTACCAACAAGGGGAGCTAAGGCAAAAGAAAAGTTCCGCAAGTCTGGGAGAGGAGAAATCCAAAGAATTTCTAGATATCCTAAGGAAATCTAAACACGAACAAAATCTGTGGTCGGCAGATAACTATGATCACTATAATGGAGATTATAGTGATTATTTGGAAGAAGACGGGGGAGGAGTCGGTGACAAGGCAAATAAAGTATCGAAACAAAATAAACCTAAAGAACAAACAAAAAATCCCTCTCCATTGGAAAAAGAGCAACAAAATATCACCCAAGGAACTACACAAAGTTTTCAAGACAAATTGAATATGAATTTCCATAAAATACCACTCTATATAATAGTGTTGGTGGTAACAATACCCCTAATAATTCTGCTGATGGTGGCCATTGTATGTTGGCTTAAATTAAAAAAGAAAAAACCGGCCAGCAACAAAGATGTGCGTCTGCGGGGCTATGGTAATCCAAAAAGAAAATCATCTGGAGCACACGACAATGAGGATGATGAAGAAACTGAATTGTTAAATGCCCAATCAAAATCGGTACTGCATGGTGGTGGTAAACCAATGAGAAATAATAATCTGAAAAGATCGAAATATGCAGGAAGTATCACCGGTTCCTCATCATCGTCTTCGTTAATGTGTCAAATACCACCGAAATGTTTTCGTACCAAACATTCTGGCCCTGCAATTATAGAGACAATGTCATTAAATTATTCTTCTTCGGAGGCAGAGGATACGAATCAATTAAAATCTCCTCCTCCAAAGGCAGTACGGATTAATGAAAAACCCACAACATCTGCAGCTGCCTCTGTTAATAATAAAAATGATAACAAGGTGGAAAAGCGTAGAGAAGTTGGGAAAACGAAAAATCTAGCAAAGAGTAATGTATAGTTTTGAATATTTTAAATAGAATTTTTGTTATAAAATCTTTTTCTTTCCCTTATCCAAATTTCAGAGTAAATCCAGCTGGGAAACAACATTTTCATCTATTTAGTGGGATAATTTGAAAAAAGATATTTTGTTATGTTCGATAAAGTATGAACACAGGCTTTTTTAATTTATTTCCTAACTATTTATTTGTTACTTATTTTTTCTGTGGTTTATATATTTCCCTAATAAAGAGAACAAAGTTCTGAAATATTCTTAACGAACTTGAGTTGGAATTTAGACTTTGAGGAAATTAAGCGGATAGGTTCTTAATTATGTTCTGCTCCATATAAGGAGATCAGGGTTGAATGCTATCGGACACATTCGCAGATAGTGGATGGCAGAAAATCTTGTCTTGAAGATAATGACCGAAATTCAGTGATGCCATTATTCTCTGGGCGGGATTAGCCACACAAACATTCAAAACATAAAAAAAATCAAATCGTATTTTACCCCACGTAAAATCACAACTGAATTTAAGGTGATCTCCGCACCATCTGTGTTCCTCAGATTGCATTTGAAAATAAACGAAATTGCCAAAAGACATCGACTTAATGGGTCGATAATAATTTTACCCCACGTAAAATCACAACAGAATTTAAGGTGATCTCCGCACCATCTGTGTTCCTCAGATTACATTTGAAAATAAACGAAATTGCCAAAAGACATCGACTTAATGGGTCGATAACAGCCACCTTTGAACCAATTTGAAAAAGGAGTCTGCCAAAGTCGGACCTGCAGTAAATGGCGAGAAGCTGATGGTATCAATGCGCAAGACATCCAGTAGACTCGGACCAACTGTGGAACTTGAAAACTACAGCTCCGAGGTAGTGGACGATTTTATATACCTCGGTAACGCCATAAAAACTAATAACATCAGCTTTGAAATCCAAAGCAGAAAAGTGTTGGTCAACAGATGCTACTATGGTCTGAGTAAGCAACTCAAAAGCAAGGCCACCTCTCGCCAGACCAAACTCATACGCTACAAGACGCTGATATTACCCGCGCTGTTGTATGCACCAGAAGCATGGGTACTTGCCCAAACAGACGAGGCAGCTCTTGGAGTGTTTGAGAGGAAAATTCTCCGGAAGATCTATGGGCCGATCTGAACCATGAATGAATCGAATGAATCATGAGCTATGCCAAATATTCTCTGACGTCGACATAGTCAGACGGATAGAGATGCAGCGACTACGTTGACTAGGTCATGTTGTGAGTATGGATGCGGATTCCGCCACTTAAAACGCATATAAAAGCGATACGAGTGATGGTTCATGTAGAAGGGGAAGGCCACGAATCCGATGGAAAGATCAAGTAGAAGACAACACTTCGGAACATGATCTTTCAAATTGGATGAGATGCGCACAAGTCCGACGCGCTTGGAAATCTAATTTAAGCTCGGCTTATGGAACAACCGTTCCATAAGGGCAAAGGTCTTTATAAAGGCCAATGGGGCTGTATAGAGGTCAATGGTCTTTATAAAGACCCATGGGGCTGTATAGAGGTCAATGGTCTTTATAAAGACCCATGGGGCAGGACAGAGTTATTTTTAAAGCCCATGTGACTGTATAGAAGCCAAAGGTCTTTCTAAAGGCTCATGGAGCTGTATAGAGGCCAGAGGTCTTTGTAAATACCCATGGGGCTGTATAGAGGCTAGTCGTATTTATAAATACCCATAGGGCTAATTAAGGGCAGGGGGTCTTCAAAGATTTGCTACCAAATGAGAACCGAACAAGTAAAGAAGTGTCAATCGGTATTGCCGATAGATATATACCCGCAGCCTTGTGCAAGGTTTGTTTCAAATCGAACATTCCATTCGCCTGAAATTGGATTTATAAATATTGAAAATTTTGACTATTTGTGTGGGAGGAACCGCAAAGAGTGGGCCAATGGGTCCCATCTTCGGACTTCATCTTGGTTTGGTAGAGATAATAAGTTGTACAAGGCTTGGTTCAAATCGGACATTCCATTAGCCTGAAATTGGATTTAAAAATATTAAAAATGTTGACCTTATGCGGGGGAGGTACCAGAAGGAGTGGACCAATAGGTCTAATCTTTTTACTTGATCTAAGATTGGTAAAGATATTAGGTGGTACAAAGTTTAGTTTAAATCGGACATTCCATTCGCATGATATTGGATTTATAAATATTGAACATTTTGACCTATGTGGGGGAGAAACCAAAAAGAGTGGACCAATGGGTTCCATCTTCGGACTTCATCTCGACTTGGTATAGATAATAGGTTGTGCAAAGCTTCTTTCAAATCGAACATTCCATTCGACTGATATTGGATTTATAAATATTGAGAATTTTGAACGCATGTGGGGTGGAGGTACCAAAAGGAGAGGACCAATGGGTCCCATCTTTTTACTTGTTCTAGGCTTGGCAAAGATATTAGGTTGTATAAAGCTTGGTTCAAATCAGATATTTCGTTCGCATGATATTATAAAATGAATTTTTTGCACAATTTTGACCACTTTGTGGGGGAGGTACCAGAAGGAGTGGACCAATATTCCCCATATTCGAACTTGAACTAAGTTTGGAAGAAATATTAAGACATGTAAAGTTTTGAAGGAATCCATTATTTCCTTTGAGAGTTATCGTGTGCACCAGCTGGCCAGATAGGTGGACAAACGAACGGACATTTGTAAATCGATTGCAAATTCTCTGAAACGCGGGGTCTAAAACCAATATTTCGATGAGGCAAGTGTATATACCCTCTTTGGCCTGAAACTTGGGTCAATATAAATAATTTTTAGTACGGATAAAATATTTATATTTAATCTGAATCGGTAATCAGCAATTTCAATTGGGTCATAAATCGACTCAAAATTTCATCACAATTGGATGAGGAAAGCATCCTTTACTTCGACGATGAAGATGTCGTTATCCCTAGTAGAGACGACTAGAACCGTAGCAACCCTCCTCTGGCTTTATATACAGACGGGTCCAAGATGGAAGAAGGTACATGGGCTGACGTCTATTGTGAAAGACTAGGCCTTGAGCTTACCTACAAGCTGGATAGCAACTTTAGTGTTTTACAAGCTTCCGCTCTCCGCTATTTGGAAGGCAGCGAAATTGATAAAAAGTCTGGATGCATAGGTCGTTGAACCGGTGGATATCTTTGTGGATAGTCAGGCGGCTCTTAAAGCCATGAAATCCTGTAATATCAAACCTGAGGTCGCCCTCGAGTGTAGAACAGTTTTGGAAACACTCACTAACAGCAACCGGCAGGACACGGTGACATCAGACGAATTATATAGACGGGAATCTCAATCTACAGATCTAGCAATCGATTGCTCAATCAAACCACCCATCTGTCATCTTTTTCGGAATTTTGAGGTATTCTTCGACAACGAACATAGTTGCAATGTTTCAAGATTTATGTGGCCAATCCTGCAACTAAGAGAACAAACTCACTGTTCAACCTGAGCAAAGCTGAAATTAGAGTAATAACAGGAGTCATTACTGGTCATTGCAATATCAGGGCCTTTACCACTAAATGGGACCATGATATTACTGATTACTGACGAGGAGTAGACGGAGACAATTGAGCATCTCCTGTGTCGCTGACTAACCTAACCTTTACTTCCATTACAAAAATACGTGAGCAGAAGATTCCCGAGACTACTCTACTAAATTACATATACATAATACCCTTTACCGCACTGTGTATGGCAAGGTATATGTATACAAGTAATAAAAAATAATTAAAATAAACAAATAAAAAGTAGAATAATTGCCAAATTGTACAAAGAAACAAAAAAAGAAAACAAAATAATTTAGCTGTAGGTATACAAGTTTTTTTGCTAAATTTAAATAAAATATCATAAAAAGCAACCTACAAAGATTTGACCATTCATTTGAAGCACCGTTGCCACCACCACCGAAAACACCAACAAAACCACTTTCACGTGCATGTGGTGCCATAAGCATATTTGTTCTAAAAGCGTGCTCTTGCTCATCGACAAACAGACGACGACCAGCTATAAAATTGTGTAAAGCAAATATACCATTATCCTCGAAGGGGCCACCACCGCCGCTGCCACTGCCCGCATAGGAGTGACGATCACCAGCCGAATAGCGTTTATTCTTTTGCGAGTATTGAGAATTGCGATTATTGCTAGAACCGCCACCACCACCACTACCAGCCAATACACCCGACGAAGCACTAATGGGTGCTGGGGTACTATCGATATCTTGCAGCTCCTTTAGGCATAGCCATTCACCATCAACGGATACCCGAAAGTTGCATAAATAAATGGTATCCTGGACACCGCCAGAAATTTCCTCACTTGTGGTATTGTGGCCATGTGTGGGCTTCGTAGATGTTGATAAGGCGGCGACTTTGCCAGGTGATGATGTGGATGACGAATCAACTTTTCCCGGGGCCACCACTGCTGCAGAGGATGTTGTTGATGACGAATTGTTGTTATGATGATTATCTGACTTCAGCTTTTGTTGCTGTTGTTGTTGTTTTTGCTGTGCTTGCGGTTTTGCCCGTAACTTCACCCCAGCTGGGGGAGGACAATTACCCTGCTGTTTGGTACTATTATTACTGCTACTGTTGGTGGTTGTTGTATTTGTTGTTATTGTCGTCTGTTGTTTTTGTTGCTGTTGCATAGCTTTATTGGTAAAGGATGTCTTGTTGTTGGTTGTTGCACTTTGGGTTGACTGCTGCTGCTGTTGTTGTTTTTGCCTTAATTGCGTTTGATTTGTTGTTGTAGTTTTAGTTACGCTGCTATTATTTTTTGCAGTTGCCGTTGTTACAGATGTCCTGTTAATTCTGCCCGTTGTTGTTGTGTTTTTAACAATACCTCCACCACCACTGGTGCCGCTGGTTTTGCTATTGTTGCTGCTACTGCTATTATTATTGTTGTTATTATTATTATTCACACTCAGTTTCTTGGTATCCTCGATCAACGCACGCATATTCACAGCTTTAACTTGGGAAGTTGTCCTTTAACTTCCACTACAACTACTATATGGTCCAAATTGCTGAGCCAATTGAATGATGATTTTTATACCTTTTTTAAAGGGGGTCTTTCAAAAATATGTCGCTGATTGAGGATTCTGTAGGGGGTGTTTGGTTGGTGTGGTATTATTTTTAAGGTACTTGTTCTTGAAACTTCTTCTTCCTCGTCCTCGTCGTCGTGTTTTTGTTTTTTCGGCTAAAAATAGAGAAATGAAAATCATGGTTGGAGGAGCATGGTTGCGGCGGGTAGGTAATTTCAATACAGAAAGAATTGATGTCATTTTATGTGTGACCACTTGGGGTGGCGTAGGGGATGATAGATACCAAGCAACGGCTCTGATTAGCTTTAACATGGCGAAGCCCAGGCTTATCTTGGTCCCTCTTTCATCTCAATTGTGGACACTGACCTCCCCGCGGTGCCACCTGGGGAGCTATTCTCATCACCCGATGAAATAGTGAGCTAATATGTGCCGCGAGTTCACCCATAAGAACTATAAAAAAATGGGTTGAGGCGTCGGGTTAGTTGCCCACTCTCGGAAAACCCAACCTACTATGAAAAAGCAAAGAAAAAGAAAACCAAACCCCCCTAATGTTGACGACCCCCGCAAACGTATAAAGGACCACGATCTGCGAATCTGCACTTGGAATGTGCGCACGCTATACAGAACAGGGGCAGTGTTCGCTTTGGCGGATATACTCAAGAAGTACAAAGCCGATATTATTGCCTTACAGGAAATGCGATGGAAAGGGACAGGCGTAAGTAAATCAGACGATTACGCCCTGTATTATAGCTGCCATGAAACGAGACATGAATTTGGCTGCGGATTTATGGTTAACAGGAGAATAAAAGACCTTGTCTCCAGATTCACTCCAGTAGATGAGCGAATTGCTATAATCCGTATAAAAGCGAAGTTCTTTTACATCAGTCTAATTTGCGCCCATGCTCCGACCGAAGATAAAGATGAACAGACCAAAGATATATTTTATGAGCGCCTAGAAACAGCATATGATCGTTGCCCTGGCCATGACATTAAAATTCTGCTAGGAGATTTTAATGCAAAAATTGGAAGGGAAAATATCTTTGGCCCCACCGTCGGAAAATTCAGCCTTCATGAAGAAACATCCGACAACGGCATGAGGTTGATTGACTTCGCGGCAGCAAAAAACATGGTAGTTAGCAGCACCAGATTCAAGCATCTCGATATACACAAGGCCACCTGGATTTCTCCTGATCAAGTAACGAGAAATCAAATTGATCATGTTGTGATAGACGGAAGGCATGCATCCAGTGTTTTAGACGTCCGATCGATCCGAGGAGCGAATATCGATTCGGACCATTACCTTGTGGCAGCCAAGGTACGCACCCGTCTAAATGTTGCAGCAAAGGTGCGATCTAATACAACACGGAAACTCGACGTCGAAAAGCTGCAAACACAACAGGTAGCCGAGGCCTACTCCGCTCAACTTACCCATCTGCTTGAAGAAAGCACTTCTTGTCCCGATAATAGTATAGAAGCACAATGGCAAAGAATTGCCCACTCCCTACAAACTGCAGCAAAAAGAACAATTGGGTACCAAAAACCACCACCAAGAAACCCATGGTACGATCAGGAGTGTCGTATTGCTACTGATGTGAAAAACGCAGCGTATAGGGCAACCCTGCAGACAGTAGCAACACGTAACGTGATGGAGAATTATCGGGAGAAAAGGAGAGAGGAGAAACGTGTTTTCAGAAAAAAGAAGAAAGAACAAGAAAAACGTGAGCGTGAGCAAATCGAGATGTACAGGAGTCAGAATGAAGTCCGGAAATTTTACCAACGAGTAAAACACCAAACCGAAGGCTTTGGTGCAGGCACATCCTCCTGTAGAGATGAAGAAGGAAACCTGGTGACAGATACAGACAGAGTGTTGAGGATCTGGAAGGAGCATTTCGAAAAGCTGCTAGTATCAAATAGTGGCGATGAAGAAGATACCCCAGAACCAATAGGAGATGATGGTATAGAGTGTATACCACCTAGCCAAGATGAGGTCATAAAAGCAATTAATCGGCTCAAGAATAACAAAGCAGCAGGAGCCGATGGGTTACCAGCCGAACTATTCAAGACTGGTGGCCAGATGCTGGTCAGGAGCATGCACCAGCTGATTAACACAATTTGGCTAGATGAATGCATGCCCGATGATTGGAACCTCAGCATCCTGTGTCCCGTGCACAAAAAAGGAGACAAGACGATATGTGCCAACTATAGAGGAATAAGTCTCCTTCCCATCGCATATAAAGTGCTATCCAGTGTGCTGTGTGAACGATTGAAGCCAATGGTCAATGACATCATCGGACCATACCAATGCGGCTTCAGACCTGGCAAATCGACCATAGACCAGATTTTCACTCTGCGCCAAATCCTGGAAAAGACCCACGAAAAACACATCGACACATATCACCTATTTGTCGACTATAAAGCCGCATTCGACAGCCCTATCCGTTCAGAGGTGTTTAAAGCCATGTCTGCGTTCGGCATTCCTGCAAAATTAATACGGCTATGCAGGATAACTTTAAGTGGCACAAGGTCAGCCGTTAAAGTAGGAAAGGACCTATCGTTGCCCTTCACTACCGAACGAGGATTCAGACAAGGTGACAGTTTGTCGTGTGATCTTTTTAACATCCTACTGGAAAAGGTCATACGAAACGCAAAGGTGAACAGAAATGGCACTCTGTACACCAAACAACACCAGTTACTCGCCTACGCCGATGACATCGATATAATGGGTCGAACATTGCGAGCGGTAACAGCCACCTTTGAACAAATTGAAAAGGAGTCTGCCAAAGTGGGTCTGGCAGTAAACGGCGAGAAGACCAAGCTGATGGTATCAACGCGCAAGACGTCCAGTAGACTCGGACCAACTGTGGAACTTGAGAACTACAGCTTCGAGGTAGTTAAAGACTTTATATACCTTGGTACCGCCATAAATAAAACGAATGATATCAGTTTTGAAATTCGGAGAAGGATTGTGATGGCCAACAGATGCTACTATGGTCTAAGTAAGCAGTTTAGAAACAAGGCCACCTCTCGCCAGACCAAACTCACACTTTACAAGACGCTGATACTACCCGTGCTATTATATGGATCAGAAGCATGGGTACTTGCGCAAGCAGATGAGGCAGCGCTTGGGGTGTTTGAGAGAAAAATTCTCCGAAAGATCTACGGGCCGATCTGCGTCGACGGTGAATATCGGCGTCGAATGAACCACGAGCTCTACAATTTATACGCAGACATCGACATAGTCAGTCGTATTGAGCTGCAGCGACTACGGTGGCTAGGCCATGTTGTGCGGATGAATGAAGAAGCCCCAGCTCAAAAGGCATATAAAAATGAGCCTACGGATGGTTCCCGTAGAAGGGGAAGGCCACGAATTAGATGGAAAGACCAAGTAGAAAACAACATCTTGGAACGTGGTCTTCCAAATTGGTGGACTTGCGCACAAGACCGACGCGCTTGGAAATCTTTTTTAAGCTCGGCTTATGGAACAACCGTTCTGTAACAAGCCAGCTAAGTAAGTAAGTACTTGGGAAAAATCGAAGTCGATTGGGGTTTTGCGTTTTCATGACAGATGGATAAATGAAATTACCTTTAGAAAAAATGGCAAATTTCTTTCCTTACTCTTGTGTAGTATACTTTTAGGCTTGCAAAATAATTAGTCCACAGTGATGAAAATAAGTAATAACTTTTCGAATAAAAAATATTTCTTTCTTTTTTTCTTCAAACACAAACACCAAACATAAACTTAACAAACAAACAAATTTGCTTTATTCCTTTTAAAATTGAAATTTTCCACTTCTATTTCCTTTCTTATGTGTGTGTCGCGAATTTAATAATATTTTTCTTCTTTTTTCACCAAATAAATTATATATGTAACAACCACTTTTTTGGAGACAACGACGACTACTTGCTGCTGCTGAATGTACTCATTATTTCTGTTCGGGCTTTTGCGAAGTCGATTTCTGTGTTGTTTGACATTTTCCTTTTTCTTTTCATCCAAATACAACTCTGAAATTTTAATTCAATGGTGGTGAATTGTTGAAATATTTATTTTGCCATCGTTGTTGTCGTCGTCCTTTATTTGGTGGGGGTGTTTATGGTGGCAGGTTCATTGTCAGATGTATGTGTTGTTGCTTCCATTTCAACCCCCTTCGATATTTTTTCTATTCATGCTGGCAAACATATGTTTCTGGTGTTGGTGGTGGGTGACAGTGATGAACGGTGGTGAATTTCTTTTTAAAAGGATATGAATTAACAGTAAATTTTGAGAGAATAAATGTTATTAACAGAGAGAGAGAGTAAATTTTAAAAATAAATGTTGCTAACAGAGTGATATTTATATTGAATATGTTTTAAAATTATAAAATACATGATTTACTTTGTTTGAATAATCTAAGATTTAAAGCAAAACAAGAAAAATAGGTTTTAAGCCTTGCCGAAACATACACTCCTTAAAAAACAAAAAATCGGTTATATTTTTGCAAGGATGCTTTTAATCTATTCGTAACCCAGTGGGTTATAATTGTCATTTCCATTGTATATATGTCAAATCCTCATAATGTAGGTTAACCCGGTAAGAAGTTCTAATGCTAATGCCGTTTAGCCCAAGGTATATTAAGAAGGTAACCGTATCAAACCAGGTGATTGTAACATTAAATCTCACAACAATTTTAATTCGACGAAAAATTAAAAAAAAATAGAAATAGAAAACATTTCAAAATAAAGAACAAAAAAGGAGAAAAATAATCGACATCGATACTGGCCATTGGGATTTCCAAATGATGACCATATGGCCGTAAAGAAGATTTCGGGATGGAACCATAACTTTTCAGACGATTAGATCTCATATCTATAAGAGGTCACGTTCCTGACGAATTTAATTAGAAGAAAGTCAGAATTTAACAAGGAGAGATGGGTTCAAGCTGCAGAAAAGGTCTCCTAACCAGAAGAGAAGGCCTATTTATAGAAGATTTGTCAACGATTATATGTTTTTCTTCGGTTAATTTATTGGACATATATTTTTGGGTTTCTGTAAGACGCCCCATTATTGTTTTGTTAATATACCTAATAATCTAAGATGAAAGAAACTTATTTTGTTCTCTAAAAGAAGGCCGTTTGGTATTCTTTTCATAATGTTGGCTTGGGTAACCTTTCGGGATTTTGGTATTCGATATATATTTGTAGATAATATAAGAAAAGGTCTTAACCATATATTATATGAGGCCTATTCCAAAAGATAGACAAAATTATGTTTTCAATATCATCTTTTGGAATAAAATCCATATAATTATGTGGTTCTGGGTGAAATTCAATTTGAAGAAGTGGACACTTAAACACGTTTTGTATGCCTTTATGTTTATTTACTATTTTCTAAATTTCAATTGAAGTCCATAGAGGTCATTAAAGCAACAGCAAAATGGGTCACGTCTTGTACCATTCCCATACTATGAAGTTGATTTCATTTTCATTCATAAATCTTATATTTGGACCAGCATTTACAATTTCAAAATTTTTGAAAAAGTAAACAAATATTTTTACTATTATTTCAAAATGGTGAATTCTGATTGGTTGAATTTAATTTGCTTCAAGTTTTGTATGTCACGGCGAATCAGTTATTTTTCGCCTTGTTAACAATGTTGACATATCATGTTCCCAATTCCCCGATGCGGCTACCTTATATATCTACCTTGGTGTAACCATTATATAAGGGATTTGTCAAAAAGTAAAATTCTATTACGGCTATGGCATTTTTAAAATATGTTCAGCTATTCCAAAACATTAACTTTTCTGAGAAAGTTTAACTATTGAAAAATTCGTGAAATTTGGGAATTCCACTTCCAAAGACACTGGAATGTCTTCACGGAACACCTGATCAAATTGTATTTCTTGGTCACTGGACTATATTCTTTGTAATTTAGCGGAGTTAAACATAAACCAAATAAAAATCCCATAAAATCAAATTGATATAATTAACTCTCTGGTCAATGCTTTTTTAAATATTAAGATCTATCTGGGTAAATCCCAGCTAATAGATGAAGTAATATGAAATTGGAAGACCGAGAACAAATTCTTATTTACTTATTGGAGCTCTAATGAACTATCCCAAAATATATGGTGACCAGAGATTTAAGAAATAATTAAATTTGAAACGTTGAAAAACTTTTAAGCGGCGTCTTTAAAAAATATTTGGATTTTTTTTTCAAATATTTATGATTTGTTCTGTTCAAATCATTCACCGTTGATGTTCACTTCGCTAACGAAGGAAATATTTTTTGAAATTTTGATTATAAAAATTTCTTTAAAAGGTTAAATCTTAGACGAATTTATCCTTCTCATTAGGCTACTTTCTCATTTTTTGACACAAATTAAAATTTTTGCAAAGATAAAAGCTCAACATTCGGCATGGACAAAACATTATGCGAAAAATTCGCATATTGCGTAAATAATCTACAAGATTATATTTATATATGCTATATTTTATACCGCTCGTTGCTCAAGCCCTCATTCCAAGTATCTGCGAACATTTTTCATATTAAGTTGGGGAAAAAGACATCCATTATTTTTTCGCCAGATGGCTGTACTGATAGATTTCGATGCAACAATTTCAGATTTATGCTCGTCGGAAGGGTGAAATTTCGCAGTAAAAAAAAATTATTTTGCTGTTTTTTTTTTTGTTTGATGCATTTCGTTTGCGAAGTTGACCGGCATTTAGTAGTCGTAACATCGCCCAGGAGCTAAAAATTTACAATAAAACTGTTTTAAAGCATTCACACAAAGCCGGATAAAAAAGCTCGATGTTTGGGTGCCACACCAATTAACAGAAAAAATAGGATGGATCGAATTTCTATCTGCGAAGACTTGGCCAAACGGAATGAGAGAGACCCATTTCTTAAACGGATGGTGACTGGAGACGAGAATAGATCACATACGATAACCCTGTGCGAAAACGATCATGGTCAAAGAGCGGTGAAGTACCTCATACGGTGGCTAAACCAGGACTAACGGCTAGGAAGTTTCTGCTATGCATTTTGCTTCCATATGGTCAAAAGCTAAATTCTGATCTCGACTGTCAACAACTGGACCGTTTAAAGATTGACCAGAAACGCACATAATTGACCAATGGGAGAAGTTTCGTGTTCCACCAGGACAATGCTAGGCCACACACATCTACAGTGACTCGCCAGAAACTTCGGGAGCTTGGTTGGGAAGTTTTAATGCATCCGTAATACAGTCCAGACTTGGCGCCAAGCATTACAAAATTTCTTCAACGATAAAAATTTGTATCTAGGGAGGATTGTGAAACTCGACTACAAGAGTTTTTTGCAAATAGAGAGCAGGACTTCAATGAGAGAGGTATTATGAAGTTACCTTTAAAATGCAAACAACTCATACATCAAAACAGTGCATATTTGGCTTAAATCGGACAATCCGAATCATGTTAGATAAAGTCCTATAGTACATATAAAAATAATGGATTCTTTTTCCCCAGCCTAATATGTAGTACAACCATATAATGTATGTTATTTGTATAGTAAAGAGATATTGAGCCCACGACCCGATTAATATGAACATCAATTTGTTAAACTCGAACTCGAAATATAACGTCAATTTAAATTTATTTTTTAAAATGTTAGAATTAAGTTTCCACAGGTGAACACGTATGCCCATGCATATAAATACATATTTGATCACAATCGAAAATAGGTTGCCTTTAATTTATATAAATATTTTCAGAATTCTTTATAACACGCATTTTCTATTTGGCCTTCATATTGAATATAAATATTTTGATCCACATTTGTGTTGCCTTATCACAGCCAATAACAATGGGCATACATAATGTTCATAATATTATAATCTATACATTTTATAATAATAAAACAACAACAAACAACTCATATCCCCCCAACTACCCACAGTTTTGAATAAAGCAAGACAACAACTAATTCTAGAGAGGAAAAATAAATTGGAATTCACTCACCGGGCTTACGTCGTTTGACAGGACTTGAAACTTGTGAGGTGGTTGCTGATGAAGCTTCCGATGCCACACCACCAGTTGATGGTGTCTGATATTGGCTGGTGCCCAAAACGGCACCGGACGCAGCTGATGCTGCATTTGATACCATAGCACTTAACTGAGAGGATAAACTTTCCGTACGACGAAATGTATCACGTAAACGATTGAGCGAGGATAACGATGGGGAACTTGGTAAGACATTGGCTACCGAGGAATCTACGCTTTCTTGACGCAACAGCAGTGATTTACTAGTGGACATTGTTTTTGTTTTTAATTAGAAACCGATGTTTTTTTATTATTAAATTTGTTTCTTTTTGTACTTCGCGTATTGGTCTGGTCTTTTTGGAAGTGGAACGTAACACCGTATTTTTCACTAGAACACTACCCGAATTTGGTGAACGTTGCTGGTTTTTGGAGGGAATATTAGAAAACACAACAGCACTTTGGAAACCTGAAGGTTTTTGTTATTATTTTTTGCTTGCTAGATTCTGTCTGCCCCAAACACGAAACGAGAACAGGTTGTAGTAAATTCAAGAGAGAATGTTAATGTTATTCTAGGGATAAGTAAATCGACTTTCGATTAAACGATTAATCGAATTTTTGTATTGAAAAATCAAAAAGTCGAAATCGACTTTCAATTTTTGAGGAAATCGTAAAGTCGAATTTTCAAAATTGAATTTCGATTTTCCTTTAAATACATGCATGCCAATTCCGCGTGAATATACTCGCTCTTCCACTTCGACTTATTCTGAACAACATTTCCCAGTGATCCGAAAAAATCCGAAAATTCGAATGCGCATCTCGCATTAGAGGACTTTTATTTAGCAAATATCCAATGGAGGTCTTCTATGTAGAGACGACCCTATATAATTAACCAAACCATAGAATAAATTTAGCAATCCAAATATATACAAAATCTAAAGAAGGTCTTCTATCTAAAAAGGCTTGGAGGAGTCATTTTATATGTTCAAGACCTAGAAGAGTCAATCAATGAAGTACACCTGTATGTGATCTGAAGGGAAACCTAAAATAATCGAAGGATGTCTTTATCTAGAAAACGTCAAAAAGAAAAATTCTATCTATAGGTTGGAGGAGGCATTCTATATATTCAAGACCTGGAAGAAAACCTGTAAGATGTCTGACTTATCTATAGGAGGACTTTATTTAAAAATTTCCCAAGAAGGTCTTAAATCTAGAGAACACCTATAGAATATATAAGAAAATCTGGAAGTGGTCTTCTACCTTTAAAATGCTTGAAAAAGTCATTATATATATTCGAGACCTGCAGAAGGACCTTTTTCTTTCTGAAGGTGTTCTGATGGAGGTCTTCTATGTATAGAAGACCTGGTGGACCCCTATATATAAAATACCTGAAATGGGTATTCTATCTACAGATGAGCTCTTGGTGTTATTATGGGAACTCTTAAAACATATATTTAGATCTTTTATCTAGAGAAGACCTGAAGATCGTACTATATGGATAACTTGAAGGAAGGCTTATACACAAGTTTCTGTCAATAGAAGACCTGAAATGCGAAGATTAGGTCTCCAGAAGCACCCTGCGAATGTCTTCTGCCATAAAAGACAAAGTTGTTTTGTTTACGCTACCACCAACCATCAATGATAGACGTGCCGAATCGGTAATATCGCAAGGCTTCTGCAACAACGTCGTCGATCTCACATCAAAGTGGCCCCCACAATTTGGAACGTTCATATCTCAACTGCTGCAAACGTTCCAAGTCTGTAATTTTGCAGTTTCTACAGCAGATATATTAGATATATTGATTGTTTACAATTTTATATGCGTCCTTTAAATTTTAATTTATTATTTATTAACAATTCACCGACTGTAGAAACAGTGAAAAACGTTCCACCTGTTACGAATGAGATGGAATAAAACAAAATGCCCGGTAAAGAAGTAGTCAAAAAAGAAGACGGAAATGTTACGAATGAGGTGGGATGGAGACTAAAAAGGAGTTGGATTGTTTACGAATGAAGTGGGATGGAAACTAAAAGAGAACCGCAGTCAAAGAACCGAGCCATACTGAAATGTCTATGTATGACGGCGTTGCAATTTAAAAATTTTAAAAAATGTAACGAATTCCCTTATGATCTGTTCCCGCACCATAATCTCTGGTTTTATTTTTTAGGGCCTTTGAATATATTTTTATTATTTTTTTTACTACGATAACGAATTTTCCTTTATGATATCGAAGAAAATAGTAAAATCGAGTAGATTCTTGCAGTAGGGAACAGACCATTCTGAAATCTGAAAGGGACAAAATCATTTCAGCCGCTCGGTGCACATATTGTTTAAGCCCGCTTTTCCACAGGCACATTTTTATTTTTTATTTGGCAAATTCTGAGTTTGTAGGAGAGAGGAGTGCGAGAAAGAAAAACAAAACTTTGCCTGTTCAAAATTTGCATTTGCGGTACACGAATATTCTGCTTTGCTCCGTTCGTTGAAAACAATTTTGTTGACATTTCGTTTTTAACCTATTCGTTTTACTGACACACAGCCGGCAAGTGAAATTTAATTTTTAATTTTTGCAATTTATATAATGGAAAAAAATCTTTAAAAAACTTTTGACGTTTATTTCTTTCTTTTGTATTTTGAATCGCAAATTTGGCAAAGAAAAATTTGGTAATGGAAAAGCAAGCGAAAATTTTAAAAGAGAAAACAAAAAATTTGCCAAATAAAAATCTGCCTGTGGAAAAGCAGACAAAGCAATGACAGACTAGTTTTTGACATTTAATTGAAGGAATGTTATTAATGTTAGATTTACATGGAATGTGTATTGGTCTGTTCCCGTTCTGCAAGAATCTACTAGATTTTACTATTTTCTAAGGAAAATTTTTTATCGTAGTAAAAAGTAGTAGATTCTTGCATTACGGGAACAGACCAAATATTATGAATTATTAATTAATCTATATGCATCGAGCGACTTTAATTTAATATTAATTGAGAACAGTTGCACCTTTTTTTGGTATAAAAACAGTATCGGTATAGCATAGTACGGTGTTTTGTGTTTTAGCTGGAATTGTGATTTATATTTGTATGGTAAATGATGCAACATCTTAAATCCTGATTTTTCTATTGCATATAAATGTGATTACATATAATTGATTACAATATAAATTGCATAGTAAGTAAAAGTCGAAAATCGATTTTGAGTAGGTTTGATAAAATCGAAAGATCGAACAGTCAACTTTTTAGTCGGATTCAAAAACCGAAATGTCGACTTTTTGGTCAGAGGCAAAAATCGAAAAGTCTACTCTCGACTACGTATCCCTATGTTATTCTATGACAACACTTCGAAGTTCCCATCATAGAAGCAACGCCGTACAGGAAAAACGTGAAAGAGAAAATAAGCGATAAAGCTTCGGATCAAAACAAAAGCAGCGAATTAAAAAGAGGTGTGATAAAAACGAATTATGCCACAAAAGGAAATTAATTTTCAGGGTTGCCAATATTTGTTATTTATGGTTGGACTATCCAAAGAAGGGAAAAAGTGATTCAAGGTTGGAAATATGTTAGCTTACGTTTACACCAATCAAATTTGTATGATGATGGTAAAATGATCGTAAAATGTACAGTATGTCTAAAATGAGTTTATACATGGATAATTATAAAACATTTGCATATGTAGAAGCATGGCATAATTGCATAAGGTAGTCTCATTTGTGAAATCGATAATGGCATCCATTTTAATTTGGAATTCATATATCAATTTCAAATAAAATGAAAAATAAATTCCATACAATTTTATGTATGTCGATTGGCATATTTCCAATAAATTAAACAAAATATATTTTCTAAAGCTGAACATTGCTCTCAAGATTTAACCATGGATGTTACATCCTTTATTTATAAGTTTTAAAGGCACGGAACTTCAAAATATGTATAAATAAAAATTATTTAGCAATTTTTCCCACTGAACACATAATATGCCTACATTTCGAAGGAAGATATTTTCATTTATCATATTTCTATGCTGAAAGTAATACAGTTTGAGTCAACTAAATTAAAGATTAATACAAACTAAAAGAACAGAACAACAAAAACAAATATGGCTCAGTTTTGTCAGTGACAAATAACTCTTTACATATTTCCCGGTTTTTAACGATTCATCAACGCCTAGACGAAACGGCTGAAGATAGAATTTTGAAACTTTGGGTGAGGGTCACTCTTGGTCTAAAGGACCACGGATAGTGCAAAAAACTTGAAATTTTGAATGCGAATAAAGGTTGAGAAGTAGGGTCGATATAAGGAGGCGGTTTTGAAAGCGTGTGCTCATGTATACGAAAAGTAACAAACTTTACTAAATTCTGTACAATTTGAATTTGGAGACGCGGATGAAGCTGGAATCCTGAAATTTGAAATTAACGGAGTGTATGATTGGGTTATGTATGTAGTTTTGGAAGTTCATACTAATGAATACTAAGTTTCTAATTATGCTGTAGACAGAGTTTACGGTAATCAATTACATCATGATCCCAGGGCCTTTACTAGCCCTGATATTTCAGTAATGATTCCTGTCATTACTCTCACTTCAGCTTTGCTCAGGTTCAACAGTGAGTGTGTCAAAGTCGTTGTGCCAAAGTTCATAAGCTTTTTCGTCGAAGAACGCCTCAAAGTTCCGATAAAGATGACATATGGGTGGAATGAGTCATCAAATGCTAGATCTGTGGATTGAGATCCTCGTCTAACTAATTCGTCTGTTCTTTCATTACCCAAGATGTCACGGTCAACATAGCCGATAGCTGTAAGCATGGTACAATAATACAAGGTAGGGCAGCTTGAGGGGATTAAGAAAAAAAAAAAAAACAACTATGTGGCATCTTCTGCCAAAAATAAAATAAATATACGCAACAAGTGTTTGTGTTTATTTGACATTTTTTCAACACAAAACTAAAAACGCGAAAATGAATGAACGGTTATAATTTCTTTCCAAAATTCAGTAGGGAATACCATAAAATGTTTGTTTCATCCATAACAAAGTAATAGCTTCCCGAAGAACGTGTTAAAAACATAATTTTCATTTGAGTTATACTTGAATATATTTCGATTTATTTTGAATTTATTTGACATTGTATTCAAAACAATACGCACACATACACAAAATATGTATTTTGATTTGATGGAACAATCCACCTTGAGAAAATTTGTAATCAGTTGGTAGCTGTGCCCTACCTTGTAATAATTATACCATGACTGTAAGTAACTCTGCATTCCGACTTTTTATCAATTCCGCGGCC